GAGCGGGGCTGTAAACGCAGCCCACAGTGATGTTTTAAACCGCCTCAGAGGCGTGAATCCTCCGTTCCAGTTTGGTGAGTAAGGGAGTGCTATTGTCAGGGCTAGAGTGCAGTAGGGAACGTACTAATTATGATTAAGTTTTAATTGCAAGCAGTATTTTTGTTGTTACGCTTAAGTGCAGCGTGCTGCATGGGATTTACATAAGTAGTGTCCTGTGGATCTGTTTTTCTCTCAACATATATCAGTTCAAAGCTCTTAACACAAGCTCTTAACTGTTGCATGCTTTGCTGTATTTGAAAAGAAATATGCAGTTATAAGGCTTACTTACTAAGGCGGAAACAGGTTTAGCTTTAACGTTGGTGTTTGTGAACGCTTACTTTTGTGGTGTTAGTGGGAATTCTATTTTAGTTTGGACTTTCCTGGGTAATTTAACATTCCGTGGGGAGCTGACCTTAATAGCACTTTAGCCTTAACTTGTAAAGTGGAGGCTTGGGGTCAGGGGAAATGAAATACTTGTGAACGTGTGCAGGAGAAAACAAGTGAGCGCAAGACAGGGCTTTGCTTGCTTACCATTAAAAATAGCTTAGCATAAAGCAAGTCTGATAGTTTTGATTGCTGTTATTTTATAAACAAAAGCCCGATTTCCATTTGAAAACCAGGGGTCAGTATTGTTTCTTGGAGGCAATGAAGTGAAAAGCAGTGCTGTGGTGAAATACTCGTCTGCCCCACCGCAAGCAGCGTTTGCCCGTCTTCAGGAGAAAACAGACTTGAAGCTTCCACCTGCCAACTGGTTACGTGAGAGCGCGAAGCTGGGACCAGCAGGTACAACCATTCTTGGCAACAACAAAAAAAGTAAACCATTTTCAAGGTAAATAACAGCAGGCTGTGTTTTTTTCCAGGCTTTTATGAATAATTCTAACAGTAAACTTGGACCCTATGTAATTCAAAGTATCGAGTACAGACTTTACCATAGTAACTAGCTATCGCCTTTTCTTAACCATTCTCCCTCTGCTTTTTCATCCTTAGTTCTTACCTGTACGCTATAATCTTGTCTTATCTGTAAATGATGAATGATGCTAATAATGACGTTGATTATTATTTCTTCTAAGTGCATGTTGACCCCTTACCTGACCTCACATTGTTCTCTGGTTGGCTGTTGTCAGTTAGCCAAAATTACAAACTAGACTGGTTCAGCCAGCCAGTCTGCTTTTGATAACAGGTGAAAATACACAAACGTGGTTCCCCTTGAAAGTTATGGACCTGATTTGTAGCTCTTCTGGATCTTTAGAAACTGGAACTGGTTAACTAATGGCAAAAGAAATTTCATAGTCATGTCAAGAAGTGGTGAAATAAGGGGCAAAACGAAAAAGCAGTGTTATTTTTCAGTATGGATGTTTGTTAAATGGCTGAGTTGAGTTCAGAGTGTTTATAAATAGGAGGCTTAAATCATGTGCTGAACAAGCAAATTCATGCCAAATCAACTAGTTATCATTATTTGTTTTAGGAGGTGTACTTTTTTGAGCAGGGTAACATGAGTTTTTCCTGGTTATTTTAAATGTTGTGTGTGTTTGTCAAATGGAGGCTGACAGTTTAACCCCTCTGTCTCTTGTGTTGCTATTAAAAACCTAATAGCAAAAGCATAACTTTGGATGCTTACACATCATGTATTTGGTTGGGTTATAGTCATATCTGGTTTAATTTGAAAGAATGATCTGTGCCTTGAAATATTCTTGTTAAAATACCTTGCAATTTAGAGAAGCCTTAGTGAGGGTAGATAAAGACACAAGGATGTGCTTGTTAAAACATGTAAGCCAGTTTTAGAAAACATAAAAAAGACATAAAATGAAATGACAACTGCTAAAATGAAAGAATTTACCTTGGTTAATGCCTTAAAGAAACTCTTTGGGGGGGGAAACTGTTTTTAGTTAAAAACCAATAAAGTTAAATTCATCTAATTTCCCATAACTGCCATAATTAACACTTTTAATAGTTCTGGTTTTTCTTGATGTGAACAGAACTTAACCTACCTTTTAGAACATCTTGAAGTTGGATCCAAGTACTTCTAATGGCATCTTTGGAAAACTTGCACAGAATGTCAGGATTATTTTGTTACTTAACTTTAGGTCTCATTATACCTGCTAATCTTTAGCTAGAATTTTTGTTCTGATGAAGAAAAAGCTTTCAAAGACTTAAGCTTTGGATTAAATACAAGTTTCTTTACTGTCACACTGCATTTGTCTGAGCTTGTAATATTTTCTAAATAGCTTTGGGATGGCATATGACTTCATTGACTCGGTTGGAAATGATGTCGATGTTGTGTCTGATTCAGAGGTATGTATAACTTTTTAAGCTCCATCATTCAAACTCTTCTGTTGTATAAACCTTATTTTAAGATACTGGCATGGCTTCTGTCAACTTCGTGTCCTTAGAGGAAAAGTAAAGATCCTAAAATGAAACACCGACGGATCACCTAACCTTTGGTCTGTCATTTCAGGGAGTTGTGATCACTGAGTAAGAAATTAATAGATAGAATAATATTTCCTGTGGATTTCTACAGATAATCCTAAGCTAAAATGTGCAGTTCAGTGAATGCAACACATCAGTCTTGCAATGTAGTTGATTTGTGTGTTTGAAATTGGTTATCTTGATGTAAATTATTACTCTAAAGATGACTTTTCCTGTTCTTATCTAGAAGAGATGGCCTTCCTCCAACTTTCTTCTTCTTTCGTTTCCTAACTTTTGCCAGCTTTTTTGGTGCTGTCAATATCTGCAGAATTCAGATAAGGCTATTCAGAAGAGGAAACATTCATGTTTGACACGAGTTTTATTCAGACCTAGATGTCTGTCCAGATTCCTC